TATTCTATTCTATTCTATTCTATTCTATTCTATTCTATTCTATTCTGTTCCACTCTATTCTATATTGGAGACCTGCCAAATACAGTGTGGTTTTGAATGATTAGGGCTCAGAACTAATGTAAACCATAATTGTCATTAAATATAATATGATATACAGCACATACAAGCTGCTGAGTGTTAATATGGAATGATGCCCATCTTTACTTGATGGAAACCATTTAAATTTTAAAGTTTCCCATCAGCTGGCATCAAATAGCATATATATATTTTTTTTAGAATCAAAAGGCATACAATACAACAACATAATGTGGACTTGGATAAATAATCACCTTTGTTAAAGTATTAATTAGCTCATCAAATGTAATACTGTACTTTCATAAAAACTGACAAATATTTACACACTGACACCTGTCACATTCATCATTAATATGTTTTCTTCTAGATAACATGTTTTTCTTATTGGGGCTCAATAGATATTATAACCTCAGAGCTAGAATAAGGTTTGACAATCCCTAGTGTTGGCTAGAGTTAAACAGTGATATCATCTGACTGATGGAATCACAACCTTTTGTAACATTTATTTTCATCATGACTCTATAAACTGCAGCATTCAGATAAAAATGTGATTTGCTGCTGAAGCTATTCTCCTCAGTAGAGCTATGCTGTTTTAAGCTCCTTTGTGACTGACATGGTTGAAGGGCAATAAAAGCTGCAGGCAATAGAAATGAATGCAAAACCCTTCAGCAAGTGACTATAGGCTGTTGTTCCCACTGCATTATTATAAAAACTGCATATTCTGTTAAATTCTAATAAAATAAACATTTACTGCACTATAAACTATCATTAATCAAAGAATATGCTATGAAATATAATCTTAGGATTATGATGAAATGCAGGTATTCAAGTCTTCCTTAACATCAATGATGTCACTCCAGTGAGCATCAGAATGAAATGAATCAACTATTCAGTTCTGTAACAAAAGATTTAGTCGTCTGGCATAATTGCCAATGTGTGAAACATCCAATGAGCAGCCACCATCCTGCTTAGTGTTTAACTGATGCAGTATCTGAATCCTTTAATGCTCTCAGCTGGTTGAAGAGCCACAGCAGTGCCAAACTGATCCCTGCACAGATCCGCGTAATTGGAAAAAAGACTATTTTCCTTTCAAAACTTGCTCTGCCTTAATCCCAGAGCAAACAACACTGGGGATGAAAAATTAAATACCTTTCTTTTTACTGTCTTGTAAATGACAATGAGGAATAAGTGTGGCTCACAGCGTATGGATAAAAATTGCAAAAAGTGTCTCACCTTTTCACCAGTGGGGCCGAGCGGACCAGCGTCTCCAGGGAGCCCTGAGCGCCCCTTTGGCCCCTCAGGGCCGTCTTCTCCTCTGGGTCCAGCTGGTCCAAGTTCCCCCTGGATGGCACAGCACCAAAATACATTTAATTAATGAAATGGATTAGGCAAGCTTAACCATAATCTATCTACATACTAAATATCAAACACATTTACTCTCATCCTTCATTGGTTTCTATTATATCTCAGTATCTGAGATTCAGCCTGTTCATGTTATATTTCTTGACTTGTTCTATGAAGACTTCTTTGAGGTCTTCAGATATTGTCCCTAAACACAATTTTTTATATATTTTAAGAGTATTTTATGTGATAGACCAAAGCAATGTGTTTCTGTAGTCTTATTGCAAACTTTAAAGAACTTATAGCTTTCGTTCAACAAAAGGTTTTGTGATTTATATCAGAATCAGAAATGCTTTAAATTGAGATAAAAAATATGTAGAGATAGTAACTTTGACTGTAGTATCTGAACACAACTAGTTAAGTTTTCAATGAAAGCTTTTTAGCAATCATTTCATCTTTTTTGTTATGTGATATTTTAATTATTCATTATTATTCTCTTGAATTATTTGTGTGGCTTTTAAGCCACTGCAAAGTACTTTTTCTCATATTAAGTACTTTGAATTGTCTCTTCATTGAAATTCAGTATATAACAAAACTTACCTTGTCTTTATTGTCAAGTAATAATTTAAACATATGAGGAACTTGTTTTGGTAATGAGGCGCTTTACACAGAAAAGCAAACCTACAGTTTACTTAGATAAATCCAAGAACGTAAAACATATAATAAACAAATGGAAGTCTTAGTAGCCTTAGTAAAATTAAGATAGTAAGAAAATTAGATTAAATCTTATACATGCACACATGTGCTAAGATGTTTTGTATTGCTTATTTTAGGTTACACTGCTATTAACTTGGCTTTACCTGGGTAAAGAGGGCTTGTTATAAATACCTGTCACACTTTTAGGATTTTTCCTTGTAAAGAAAAGTGTTAACATTTATATCATTTTAATGTATAATTCTGTGTTGGTCTAGCTAATAAAATTCTCACTGAATACAATTACGTTTGCAATATGAAAAGGAGTAGAAAAAATTAATGGGGATTGAATACTTTTTGGGGCAATATTATACTGCGACTCTGTCCATCTGCCAATCATTTTTTAATCCTATTTATGGGTGTTTTATGTTGTTACAGTAGATTTTAAACATCTGTATAAGTAATAACAAATATTAAGTCTATAAGCAAATAGAAAACAAAAACTTTCATTACAAAAAACTTATTATAAAAGTATGAACAGCCATTGAACTTTTAGGCCAGTTGTCTCTGTGAGTAGTTCAGGTTTGCCCTTTTAACTGAAGGGAAAAGTAGCTTAAAGAATCCCATTAGAAATTGTTCCTGTTGAAAACTTGTTAGCAATCTTATTACTGCTTCTCTCTGAGTGTGTGTTCTTATTTTAAAAGGACACACACACTAAATGACAGAGTAAAAACTTGCTCTGACAGCCCGGCGCTGCTGCAGAGGCCCATTGGTGTGTAAAAGCTATCTAGTTAAAGGTCCGTGCAGAGTTACAAAGCAAGCCACTGCACACAAAGACATCCACCCTCAAGTACACATAAGTCGGTATCAAGCAAATTGTATTTGACTTACGCTCGGAAGCTCATCAAAAAGAACACTTTAAACTGAGCATTGTTGAACACATGCAAACACACACCCTTTTTCATGGGGCTGCTTTAAACTGAGCCATTTACAGCCTAGCCCAAGCAGGCATCTACTGAGCAGAGGGGCCTCCTCAAATCTTTGCTTTCATCTGGATCGGCATCATCTCCAGAGGAAAACATGGCGGAAGGCCCGTGTCTCTCGTGGGCTTAAAGTGGTGTTTAAAGTGCCATTGATTTCTCCCTTGTTTTTCAGCTAGAGACAGCCCGGTTCAGGGATAGGGGATTTAATGTTTCAAGTACAGGCTGCTGTGAGTTATGTTTCTCACTGTGGAAGTCATATTTTCCTACAACCTGACAGCGTAAATCCCTAATGCACTTCAGAGAAAGGAGCTGCTCCGGATTGAGAGTGTCAAACTTGCTCTTCACTAACAAAGGGGCTGGGGGGATGGTTAGGACTTAGAAGACAGAGTAGGTTTTGAAAACTGCAACACAATCACAGCTGTCAACAGCATCACCTCATGTTTTCTCATTATTAGCAATTCCACACCAGTACAAAAAGCTTTTGGAAACAAGCGGATAATGGAGCAGCAAGAGTTAATACAGCTTAACTTTAAGAATGTGAAACTAAAACCTGTTTGACAAAGTTACATTTGCATACATTTATGTATATATATATATATATATATATATATATATATATATATA